GCTGCTGCTCCTACTACTACTACTACTACTACTACTACTACTACTACTACTACTACCACTACTACGACTACTACTACGACTACTACTACGACTACTACTACTACTACTACTACTACTACTTCTACTACTACTACTACTCCTCCCACTACTACTGCTACTGCTGCTGCTGCTGCTACTACTACTACTACTACTACTAGTACTGCTGCTGCTACTGCCACTGCTACTGCTACTGCTACTACTAGCGATTAACTGAGGACCGGCGACGAACGACGAACGACAAACGTCTTTGCTCGCTACTCGCTACTATCTACAATCTTAGTTGTCATATGCGTTGTTGTATTTACCTCATCCTCTGTGTTTTCATCTCTGTCTTGGCGTTCATCATTTGCAAATCTTCGTCGCAGCTTTCCTCTTTCTTATATTATTGGTTTCAGCTTTATCTTGAAGGTCAGGCCAAGACGGCGTACACTTGCAGACTAAGACAAACCTGCGCGTATTCTATTGGTGCAGCTTCGTTTCTCATGCAAGGTGCCAGGCACTAGAGCATGCCTGGTATTCTTCTCCTCCTCTTCACAATAGCCTTGAGATACACCCGCGCGTTCAGGTACCCCCGCGGATTGCTTTGCGGCCAAGCTGATTGGCAGCGACGGAGTGGAGATCCGTGACGATGACCACATCGACTGGGAGTTGTTCAGACAAGGCAAGCCGGAAAAGGGACAGGGTTGATCTGACACCACTCAGAACAAGACAACATTTGGTTCTCGTATCACTCGTATTTCCCACATTCAAACGAGTGCATGGACTTTGCTTGAGCCCTGTAATGAGAAATAGAAGTGGCCTACAACGAATCGAACATGAAAGGTATGTGCACATCATGCCGTCTCCTGTAAGATTCTACTATTGCCTGTGTTCCTTTCCAAGACTTAAAGGCTCACTTCAATACGTCGTGGTCGACTTCGTGCAATTCATGCTTGGGGACCTCAACTTCGAGCAGCTTCCTCATTTGGATTTCGCACAAGACCCACATAAGATGCTACAGCCACGTCTTGTTATCTTTGATGCTCACAAGGTTTTCGTGCGGACAGGTCATGCAGCGTGCCAGTATTTTTACGATGCTTGGGAGGCAGCGATAATGAGCCTCGGTTCAGCAAGAGCTAACGTCGTTGAAGCCGATGGCGGCACCGTGCTGGGCAGAATGCTGGCCCTCCTGCAGGAAGCTCTTACATTAGACTGGAATCCTTTCTGGGACCCGGACATCGATGGACCGGATGGTCAGAGGGTTGGAGATGATTTTCTGCAGATTTCGGAGCATGCCATCGTGACGACAGTCATCCGTTTTGTCACGGAGAAGCTGCAAGTTCAGACAGTGAAGCAGACCTTCCAGCCCCACCAGGACGAGCTGAAAAGTCTACTTTGGAGATTTGTGCAGGACAAGCTGTCACTTCCTCGGGGCGCGGGGCATCATCCTGGTCTTTTGGAAGGCCGGGGGGCAACTTTGATGCTCGCGCTGATCGAAAAAGGTCTTCCGCGGTGGTACTGGGGTGGTTGCCATGGCTTTGGCCGTTTTGGTGACAACCTTTTGCAGTATATCCTCGAGTCAACATGTTGCCCGGTGGTCTTTTACCAAACCGAGGCCGAAGGATTTCTCTGTCTTGCTCTGGCCGAGAGGTACACCTTAGAGGAGTTTTTCCACAAGACCACGGCTGGCTGCATTTCCCTCGGGTACGCCAAGGATATCACCGAGATGATCACCGCACGGAGGGAAGCGGGCGGGTATCTGGGCGAAAGCGACCTTCGTGTCTGGTTCGAAGTCGACACCAAGATCAGGGAGCAGATGCAAAGCCGCGCCAGGGATTTCCAAGGCAGCTTGCTGGAGTTTGCTGCGCTGACCGGGTCTGTGCGGGCAGCTTTGCGAGGCGACTAGGCCGAGACACGCAGGCCTTACTTTCTTGTAGCAGGTAGCCTCGGTGGAGTAGATCCTCCGACGTTTGTATTCCACTGCAGCGGAAACTTCTGCGTGTCCCTGTAACTCGGCACATTGTCTGCTCTGCATTGCAAGGTCAGTCGCTTCCGGCTTTCGACGGGGAGCTTTGGCAGCGTGCTGCTGTGGTTCGCCTGGAGTGGATGAGGACCCCAACCTCCCATTGTCGTGGGCAGATGGTTCGATTTCGGTCGTACCGTTTGTGATGTTCTCAGGACATGCCCAACCAGGGACACAGCTAAGATCGATGTCGTGATGTTTTTCTCCCAACCCGCAGGATGGGCTGGTGGTTCACCCGGCAGACCATCGACGAACAGATTTTGGAGGTTGTGAGCTGGCACTTTGCACAGACCTTGCATGGCAGAATTTAATTTTGAGGACGGGGCATCGCAAAACTCTCGGTTCTTTGGTCGGTCGCTGGTAGGCGTGGCTCACTACGTTCACTTGTGGCACCGATTTGGGTGAAAGAGGCTTCCACACGTTCATGAGATGCCCAATTCTCGTTGCTGACACAACATAATTTACACTTGTTTCCAGGCAGCTCCCAGCTTCTGTAATCGTGCCTTGCGCGGCACCGGAATTTGCGCGCGTCATCGATTGATGCTCGTGCATTCGGAATCTCTCTTTGTATTGACGGCAGGTGGCAGTTCTTGAGCATGGTCACACACATACAACAAGCATGGTGTCTTCAACAATCAGATCCAGGCAATAATTTTCATTTCATGCCACAACCTGAACGGCCTGTCTGAAGCCTCGATGCGACTTGGCCGGGCTCTGGAATGCAGGATTAAAACTCCGGTCTCTCACCCAAGGGTCGATGTAAATGTAGGGGGCGGCATGCCTCGGCTACTCTGTATTTGCAGCCTTGATGAAAGGCAGGGGGCTGAGCGTGATCCATGCATTCACTAGGATGTGGGATTTTCGCTTGAGCCGAAAGCTGAAGCAGATACTTACGACCGTCATGTCGTCATCAGAAGGTGGCACGTACATGCAGCGCATGCATGATTATGTCAGAGTTCTCACAAGATCTCACAAGCCTGACCCTGGTGATCACAAGGTTAGTAACCAACGGAATCCTGGCATCTCAGTGTCTGCGCTTGTTTGGTTGCACACATCTGGCCCATCTGACCCGCAGCGGTGGATGCCATCATCATCATCGTCATCGTTAGACCATCATCATCATCATCATCGTCTTCGTCATCTTTAGACCATCATCATCATTTTGATGATTGTCTCTTCTCCACATCCTGATCCCCTAATCGGATTGTCATCATCGCGAAAATCAAAACTTCCCATCATCATCATCATCGGCACTTTTCATGATCTTGTTCTTCTTCGTCGCAGTCTAGAGCTGCGGGAGTTATGGCAGTCAGAAGGAAGGAGCAATATGGTTTTGCTGCAGGTCCTGGAGCGCTGGCATGCCCTCCTGAGCGAGACCACCACCAAGCTCAGGGCCGCGAAGGCTGCCTTGCAAGGATTTCGATCCTCCGGTCGTTTTGGAAGCTACTATAGGGGCCTTCACAAGAGGTTTTGGGGAATTCCTTACTAAAGTTGTAGCATTTTAAAATACCCCCTCCCCCAACAAAAAACGCTATTCTAATTATTAAGGCCCCTATAGTAGAAGCTTCAGCCTGCTTGAGTTGGATGCTCGGCTTCCTGACAGCGCTTTCCAGTTGCTTTCCACCCACAAACTGTTCCACGCCGAGGACGCCAAACCCTAACCGCAAACTCCTAAACCCTGATCCCTAAAAACCCGAAACCTCAATCCCCAAGCATAATAATATCTTACGCAGAACCCTGCAACGCACACCCCCCCAAGACGGAAGCCAGAACATTTGCCAATATTGTTTCTTAGAGTTCTCATAATTCTTCATTATACCTACAAAATGAAACCCCCCAAACCCCTCTGCTTCTTGTACAGTTCCTTGTCTCCGAGCCTCCAGGAGCTACCAGCTTCGGGTTGGCTCCTCCCATCGCAGCGCCTGGGGCCGGAGGTTGTGCCGAAGGCATGGGGGGGCCCTGGGCTCACCAAGATAGGGCGTTTGGGTTCCGACGTTGGGTTTTCGAGGTTTAGGGTTAGAGGCCGGTTTCTGGGAATTTGGGGTGGAGGGTGGGGTTGCGGAATTTACTTGACCCCTCCCCTGCCATGGTCACCTGAAACCGCTGCACCCGACAGCAAACGCCTACCCGCCACCCTGGAAGCCCAACTCCCCCGAGCTCCTGCAAACCCTTAAAGCCTTTCTCTCTCTCTCAACTCGACACCCTAAACCCTAAACCCTCATCCGTACAGTCAGGTTTTCTTTCCGATCCTCAAAGCCACTTAAAAACTGATTGCAACTCTTCTGCAGCTCGGTGGCTCCGCCTCCGCGGAGCTGGGGCTCGGCAATGGGGCTGTGGGCACCGCGGCTTTGAGCTTTCTTCTTTTTGGGGGGGTTGAGGGTATGGATTGGGTTGCGGGACGAAGGGACGTGGGTCTTGGAGCTTGGAGTTCTGGTGATGGAACAGACATTTCGGAGGAGTCTAGTATTCAGGACATGGTGGGGCTTTCCGGCTTGAGGAGGAGCTGAGGAGGCAGAGTGTTGTTCTTGGCCTTTGGCTGTTGGGGTTGAAGGGGGTCAGCTGCAGGGTTTGCAGGGTGTCGATTCAGGTTCTCGGGATTCGATGTCGAGTCAAGGTAGTTGAGGGGTTCAAGGACGCCACGTCCAACCTCTGACTCTTAGTTAGTGGATTTTTTGCCTGTGGAGGCTTCAGTCAATGTTTCTCTCATGCTACCAGTGGACTTTCTCTCAGTATGGTGGTGACGACGTGAAAGACCAACCCTGACGCCCCCAGAGCTCCCGAACCCCAAGCCCCTGAACCCTAAACTCCCGAGCCCGAGCCCTACACACCACTACCACTGCAGCAGAAGGTCGTGCCATCCACTGCCTTGCGGCGGCAGTAGTCGAGGCGACACTACCTGCAGGGCTTTTGTGGTCGGCAAATTCGAGCTTTCATCATTACGGGCAAGACAGGCATGGAAATACCGACGTCGCCCTCCACCTCGAACAGTTCCTCCTCCTCTTTTCTTCCGGCCGCCGCTGCTGCTGCTGCTACTACTACGACGACGACGACGACTGCTGCTGCTGCTGCTGCTGCTGCTACTACTACTACTACTACTACTACTACTCCTGCTGCAGCTGCTGCAGCTGCAGCTGCAGCTGCTGCTGCTGCTGCTGCTGCTGCTGCTGCCAACCTACTACTGCTACAGCTACGGCTACTGCCACTGCCACCGCCACCGCGACTGCCTCTGCCTCTGCTCCTGCTGCTGCTGTTGCTGCTGCTGCTGCTGATGCTTCTGCTGCTGCCACTGCTGCTGCTACGACTGCCACGACTGCGACTGCTGCTACGACCACGATACCACTGCGACGACTGCGGTGACTGTGATGACTACGACGCGATACGGCAACGGCGACGGCGTGGCGGCTGGCAGCAAGCCTGTTAAGGGAACCCTATGTAAATAGATAAATACATAAATAATAATTACATGAATACGCACACAAATACAGAACAAATAACTGCACATAGATAAAACAGACAACTAGATAAATAACCAGACAAGCCACTGAACACGATTGCGATCATTAACACAAACAGATGCTTGAAACAAGCAAAATGGATCATTCATAAATGAACCAACACATACATGTGTTGATAAACAGATGTATAGACATTCTTTAAATATCCAAATATCTTTTCTGAATAAAGAAACACATAGATAATTCCACGTACATGCATGCATGCATGCATGCATACAGACACATACATCCAACACATGCACGCGATGGTTGAGCATCGCGACGGCATGGGCACACAGATGTTCATTTGCAGTTGTGGACACTGTGGCCGTAGCAGCATTTGTGATCGTCGTGTCATGGTTCTTAGTGTATCAGTACCAGCAGTACCTGTGAGTGCAACTGCTTCGAGAGAGAGGCTCGCCGATGCCTCGCTGCATTTCCGGAGCTGAGGCTCGATCCCTTGTGCGCGGTCGCGAGGGTCGCTCTTTTTTTGTCACCCGAACCTTGGGGTCCCCAAACAAAAAGGCCTTTGCTAACTGCTGGTACGAGTTACTTGTGCACCCTGACATCCTCAAGCCGCAGAGCTTCCTGGGCAGGAACGCCGTCGCCACGTTCGGCGAGGCCAGCTGTAGCGAGCCCCCGAAGCTTGGAGTTGTTCTTGAAAGCAGTGTGATATCCCGCGAGCTTCAGATTTGGGGATATCTATTCGGTGCAGCAAGGAGACTGCAGGACTTCACATGGGCTTTTGCGGGGAGGTGGCTCGACTTGGTGGTTGTTTTGCTGCCCCCACTCCGTCTGATAGGCTCAAACCACTATGGGCTCCAACGCCCTCGACCAGACCATGCAAAGCTTACGCTGGCATAGGTCCACGCAAAAACACAGACAAGAAGAGGAATAGCTTGTGGGGCCGTCTTTCCTTGTAGCCAACAGCCAGCTTCAGGTCCGCAATATTTTGCAAACCTACAACCAAATATGGCCCACGTTAGAATGAAATTGACACAGTCCGATTAAGACAGACAGGCAAGCACGACCACATAACTTGCAACAGTAGGACCGATATCGGCAATTCGCAGCCGTGATGGTCACTGCATCACGATCATCGACATCATACTGTTAGCAGTCTGCACAGGTCATTATCGCATCTTTCCTGGTCGTTAAGAACGGTAATGTTGCATCTCATGGAATGGAAACCCCAACGAAAACTGTCGCAGTGCCCGGACGGCGAGTGTAATCAGCTTTGTTGATCGAAAACTCAAAACACGCATAACAATCAACTCAAGACAGTCATATGTCAAGAGACGACTGGAGCCCAGACGGTAGGGTTCTCATTCTACACGACTGTGAACCTATATTTTAAACTCCCAGCCCTAAGCCCAAAGATCGGAACTCCTTCCCCAGCCGTGTCCTCCACACAGGCCTTGGGGCCCGAGTCGTCCCGTGCATGCTTCGGTTTGGCTTCAGGGTTTGGGGGGTCTGAAGGTTTCGGCTTAAAGGTTCGCAGTGTTTGGGAGCCTAGGAGTCTAAGGGCTGAACGATAGCAGTTTGAAGAGCTGAAGCGTGTGGAATCCTCTGAAAATGGAGCCGAAGCTCAGAG